GTTCCCCACGACTCCTCGGAGAAGTGGCCGCGTGGGGCCTGGGGCAGAGAAGTCCCGTCGGAGCCACGGGACGAGCCACGAGCATCCCGCGGCTCCGACGGGCGCGTCCAGGGGCTCCGCGGGACACGGCCGGACCAGCGCAGCGTCACGGCGACAGCCCTTTAGGGACAGGAACCCCCGGGCCCAGGTGGTATAAACGGGCGAAGGGAGGGCTGCGCGATGTCACTGCATCTGGAAGGAGGATGGGCCAGCCGCCACCGTGAGTGGGTGTCGCCCGCAGGCCGAGGGGCGGTTTGCCGCACAGCATGGCCTGCCCCTCCCCCACAAGCGCCTGCTGCTCAGCGGGCGCGGCACACAGTTCAGTTAACGGGGCACCCCGACCCGTGGCACAGCGTCACTTCGGTACTAGCCCCCGCGAGGGAGCGCCGCGGAGGGACTCCTACAAAGAGGTCGTGCGAGTCAGAAGGGGCGAGACTGAGGGGAGGGGACACCGAGTGCGCACGCGCGCCGCGGCCGGACCGCGGACCGCGCGGAGCCTCTGCTCAGGACCGTGGGGGCTTGGGCAGGGCGTCCGTGGGTGGCGCGGGGACATCCTACGGGGGGCGCTCTCCGGACTTGGGAGACGCAGCTGAGGACTCCCCAGGAGGCCTGCCACTTCGGGGACACTCCGAGGGTTAGGGTGACAGGCATCCTGGCAGCAGCTTATTGTCAGCTGGCATAGAACACGCGTGTGTGAATCTGCACGGACCCTTGCCGCGCGTGCATCGCATGGACATACATGTCACGGGTGACGGGGAGGGGACGAAACACGAATGTCGACCGGGGAAGCTGGGGGCTGTGGGAACTTCTGCCGGTTTGTTTGCAATTATTTTTAATGAAAAAAAATGTTAAATCAGTAAATACCGTTCTTCACATTAAGATTAAACGGCACACACAATTATACTAATGGATGCTGAAAAGGCCTCAGTGGAATCCGACAGCTGCCCCCAAGTGACTAGGAGAAGGGCCCCGGGGGGGACCCGCAGTCTGATCACGCGCAGCCTCGCGGTGCGGAGGCGCCAGCGTCCTGAAGGCCGAGCCACCGGACGCCACCCACAGAGGTGGCGCCCGGACGGACGGGGCCCGACGTTGCAGGAAACGCAGGGCCGCAAGCCCCCGAGAGGGAGGCACATCCTCAGAATGACGTTACTAGGGGCGGCCGCTGTGGCGACAGACAGCAAGACCGGAACAGCACGCAGACCGACGCGGCCCCTGTGCAAGGACGACACACATTCGTGACGCGTCCCGTGTTTTAAGAAAAGGAAGAAAATGTTCATGGTAAGAACCAAGACACGGAAAAACGGTGAACTAAATTAAAATGTAAATTTCTCTTCAACAAGGGAAACCACAAGCACATTTTTAAGCAGATGACAGAACGGGAGATGTTTGTAACGTGCAAAACCAGCGAAGAGATTCATATCTTGACTCCCCAGAGTCCCCACAGAGCAGTTCTCTAAAAACCGCCGTCCCTGAGCGGTGAAAGGACGTGGCCAGGCAGCTCACGAGGGGAAGCCCACAAGCGAGGCAAACGCACAGACGCGCGGGTGCTCTGCACGCCTGCGAAAGCTGCTGGACCGAGAGGGAGGGGCACGGCCGCGACTCGGCAGCTGGCCGCCCGGAGCCTGGCAGGTGCCGTCGGCCTGCTCCTGCGTGGACGTCCCGACGCCCTGCGCCCACAGGCCCGAGAGCAAGGTCTTCGGGGGCCGCTGAGAGTGGGGGGGCCGCCGAGGGGCCACGTGTGGGAGATGGACAGGTAGACGCGACAGATGTGGGACACTGTCCGCCGGACAGAGCAGCGCCCGGCTGTGCACGCAGCTTCGAGGGCGGAGCTGTAAAACGTGACAGCGGGACATGCACACTCAGCAGCTCCAGCCACGGTCCCCTGGCTGCGGGCCCAGACTCCCCAGGGCGCCGCAGGGAGCTCCTGGGCCCTGCACGGCACCTTGGGCTTTTGAGGGAGACACAGGAGAGCGCAATGTGCCAGGCGACCTGTGAACGTCTGACTGAGGTCAGGCATTCAGTGCCAGGTCCCACAGCAAAGCCGCTGTCACCGCGGTCGCTGTGATAAGCGGCCTGGTCAACGCCAGGCATCGGCCACCCAGCCTCGGGGAGTCAGGTGGCTGTGTCTGAGCTGGGCCGGCTTAGCAAAGGGGCGCAGAGCCCAACAGGGCTGGAGACGCCATGAGTAAGTATGTACAGCTCTTTCAGAATTAGGGTTTTTTCAAAGTTTGTGATACTTTTCTTTTTTCTGAAGTGCTACCAAGTCATTTAGCCCTAATAGCCTTAACTGTTAGGCATTTCTTCTGCACAAGGGCCACTGTGAAAATGTGCCAAGCGGCCGCAACCTGTGCGCAGGAGGGCAGGAGCCTCCGCGTTAGGGGGCGCCGGCCACCAAGACCCCAGACCCAGAGACACGCAGTGGCAGGGGCGCTGAGTGCACTGCCTGGTCCCCTGCCCCCCACATGCCAGGGTCCCAGGGGGCCGCACAGTTGTCTCCATCATGTCAAAAGATCTATAAAACCAGACTAAGAGGAATACACGCGCCGCTGCAGTCACCACAGCTGAGACACGCCCAGAACCCCACCTGCGACGGGGGAACGAGTAACCCAGTGGCCCACGCACACGCCACGGAAGGGCCCTCCGACGGGCCTGGAGGGTGTCATGCTGCGTGGAACCAGCAGACACAGGGGGGCAGACCCTGTGTGACCCTGGAGGAATCAGGTGCGTGGGGACAGAGCGCGGGACTGGGGGCAGGGGGGGCTTTGTGTGTAAGGGGACAGAGGTGCGGACGGGCGGATGAGGGGCTCTGGGAGCGGGGGGCGGACGCTGCCAGGGGCCTGCGCCTGGCTCCCCAGGCCGTGCCCTGCACCCATGCACGGCTTCCGATGGTGCGGAGACCCGTAGGACTCGAGTTATCTGACTTCCTGTTTCCTCCTCACAGAGGTGCCTGCCCTGTGGTTTGCTCTGCACAATGACAGTTCCGTGTCCTCTGCTTTCTTTATTCTTAGAGTGGGGAGCGGGGGAGGGAGGGAAACGTTGATGTGGGAAGCGTCCACTGGTGGCCCCTTGCGCGCGCCCACCTGGAGCTGTGCTGGCAACCCACGTGCCCCGGCTGGGGACCGAACGGGAGCCCTTTGGGTTCGCAGGCCGGCGCTCCGTCCCCTGAGCCCCGCCAGCCGGGGCTCTGCACCAACCCTTGCCAGTTACAAGCGCCACAGACAAACTCTCCACGCGGGCTGGCCCCCGTGTCCTTTGCAGTCTAGAAAGAGCAGAGCCTCCGACGTGGGGGCTCTAATTAGCAAGCCACTCCTCAGAGCGGTGTCCCCTCTCCCGCAGAGCCTGTCCCCGTGGGTCCCCTGCTGCAGCACTCACAGGCCACGCCCGTGCAGACAGGCCCCCCCCCCCCACTGGCCATGGCGGTGCCCTGGGCCGGGGTGGTCCTCAGTGTCAGGCCTGGGCACGGCCGCGTCCCCTGCAGCAGGGGACTGAGGCTGCCTGGGGCTGGGGGCAGCAGAGGGGCCAGGGAATCAGACGGCAGCCTCCGTGGGCACGGAGGCCCTGCTACTTGGCCGCGCCTGACGTCAGCGTGGACCCCTCGTCGCTGGTGGCCGCAGCCCCGCTCCCCGCCACTGCGACCTCAGGACATGCCTGCGCCGCAGGGCCGCTGCCCTCGGCGGGGCCTCTCGGGTCAGAGGACGAAGTCACAGACACGAGGGCGACCCAGAGTGTAATGGCTACAGATCAGTTTCAGAAGGGACGGCTCCATTTATTCATTTAGGCCCCTAACAATGGAGGTCACTGGGGCCAGTGGCCGTCCTGGCCAATGGCCGTCCACACGAGGCAGCCAGGACGACCCAGGGCCAGCAGGGGAACGGCTGCGGGGAGTCCCGAAGTGACCTCACACATCCAGAGGGCGCAGGTGGAGGGTCAGGGCCACAGCTGGAGCCGGCAGGGAGTGACGGGACCTCAGGGAGCTGGGGTGAGGGTGCTGAGGGGGGTGGACGGAGAGGCGCCAGGACAGCGGGTGCAGGCCCAGGGACTCTCTGGGGGCTGGCCCCATGCGGACAAGGTCGAGGGTACACAGGGAGGCCAAGGAGAGACTACTCAGGCAGGAGCGGGGTGGGCAGGAGGCCCAGGGGCTGGGGGCGGCCTCAGGCCCAAGCCAGTGGTGGCTGCAGGAGGCAGCCCTCCCACCAGCCCCTCCGCCTGCCCAGCAGCAGGCTGGGCGTCAGGACTCGATGGTCCTGGGAAGAGGGGGCCCGGAGAGGGGACAGGGCCCAGGCCTCCTGTGCCTCCTGGGGGATGTTGTGGCAGCAGCTGAGGGCACATCCCCTGCACACAGATGGCTCTTTGTCAGGGCCAAGCCCTGCTCGCCAAGTAGCCTCGGGGACAAAGCCCCCTCTGTCCATGGCGGCCTCTCTCCTCGCAACCCCCTCCCACAGCTCCAAGGGCCCCAGGCCTCACCCAGCGCAGGCCCCGCCCAGGTGGCACAGGCCAGCCAGGCTGAGGGGCGTAGGGGTGTCCAGGGCAGTGCCCACTCCCCGGGCTGACACCAGCCTGCGCTGCAGGCCATGGCTGTCCCTGCCACAGCCCGGCTCCCCTGGCCCAGCCCGGCCTCGGAGGCACTGCCCGGCTCTCCCTCCTCACGCTCCCGGCCCCGGCAGAGCCCCGAAAGGATGGCAGGGGGCCTGCCAGCAGCCTGGCCCCACAGGGTGGCCCCCGCATTTACTTCTGAGTCTTTTCTGGACCCTGAAGGCCCACGGCCTTCACTGGACATGTCATGACCTCCGGAAGGGGCACCGCCGGTGCGGCCCTGCTGCTGCTGGCCCAGGGCCGAGCTCTGTCCAAAGCGGGGCTGGCCCCAGGGCCCAGAGGCTGGGATCCTGCTTCTCTGTCGATCCTGTGGCTGCCGAGTGTGGAATCTGCCCCTTTGAGGCCAGGCCAGGTCACAAGAAGTGTCTTCAGCGTCTGGGCGGCGGGATCCAGATGAGGCCGGGCAGGGCTCCCGCCAGCCTGGCCAGCTGCTGGCGACACTGGGCCTGTAGCTGGCGCAGCGCCTCCTCCAGGCAGGCCTCCCGGCTCCGCAGGGCCCCAATCGCCTCGGCAGCACGCAGGCCCGGGCCTGCCAGCACCCCTGGCTCTGTCCTCACCAGCCGGTGGGGCCCGTGGGGCTGGGCCCGGCCCCCGCCTCGCTCGCAGGCCTGCCGCAGGGCCGCCAGCTCCTGACCCACGGCTTCCTGGGCGGCCCGCCGGGCGGTGCTCCACTCCGGGCCCTGGCCTCCAACCTGCAGCGGGGAAGGCGGTGAGCTGGGAGCCAGGTGCTGCCGCATCCAGCCCAGGCCACTGGCTTCAGGTCCCCTCAGCCCTCGCTCAACCCTGACACTGGTCCCCGACGGCCCCACAGCCCCGGCGCAGCCTGAGAGGGACTTCCAGCCCAGGTCCCCAGCCCCCAGGGAGCAGAGGCCCACCCTGCACCAGCTCCAAGGCCCGGCCCCTCCAGGCTTGGCTCCACCCTCACCAAGCCCTTGAACCCTGAGCAGCGGCCATGGGTCCCCAGGGGCAGGGTCACAGCCTAGCCGCCCCACAAAGCCCTCGGGGCCACCTGCTGCAGGCCCACCTTGCTCACCAGGGTGGCAGTCTAGGGGCAAGTCCCTCGGGGCCCATTCAGAACCCAGAGCTCAGACCCCAGAACACCCACCCCTGGGACACCCACCCTCAACTGCCCCAGCCACTCCAGGGTAAGCCCACCACCCACCGCCAAATCCAGGAGGGGAAGCGTGGGGCGGGGCTGACCCGAAGGACACTGGACTGAGGACACAGCCTGCTGAGGACACCTGTGGCCCAGCGGGGGCTGGTGTGAGAAGCTGCCTCACCCACGTTCCCAGGGAACCGCCCTGACCCTGCACCACAGGGGTCCCCAACAAGGAAGCATGGAGGGGCCTGGGCCATGCTGAGTGCCAGGCTCATTCCCTGTACAAAACCCCTGCAGACATCGGCTGTCACCGCTGCGCTGGGGCGTAGGGGACCAGCAAGGAGACCGCCGGGCGGCCGTAGGCCCCCGGGAGGCCCTGTGCTCTCCGGGGCCGGCTGAAGGCTTTACAGGGAAAACTGCGCCCACAGGCAAAGATGCTTCAGGGGAGGAAGCCAGGGAACCGGGGGCTCGGCCCCCCCTGCCCACCCGCCAGTGAGATGGGCCACACAGACGGGAACCGGGGGGATGAGGGGCGTCGAGGGGCTCCGCACGGCTGGGGTAGGGGCCATCCCCTGCACCCGCTTCTCCGCTGGAGCCTGCCCACACTCGGGTTCATGCGTGTGCCCCGCCAGCGGTCTCTGAACACAAGCCCGCAGCTCGGCGCCCTCACCTTGCTCTCAAGGGACACCCGCCGGGCCTCCACCGCCGCCCGCAGCTCCTCCTGCAGAACCTGCAGCTCCCGCTCCAACTCCTCAGCCCCAAACTCGTGGGGCCCAGGCAGAAACGCGGGCTGCGAGGCGTCGGGGGGGCAGGCGCCCAGGACCGTGTCCTGCAGAGAGACCTGAGTGAGGGCGGCACAGGCCTCAGCGCCACACGCACAGCCCAGCTCCCAGCCGGGGGGATGAGGCCTAGGTCGCACAGCAAGCTGGACAGCTGGCATCGCCCAGGCAGGCCGGAGGCCAGTCTGCAGGCCCCTGAGACTGCCCAGGAACTGGCAGCCGGGTCGGGGACCACTGGACATTTGGAAGGAGCCCCCAGACTCCAAGCTGGGTGCAAAGCTGGCTTCTGGCCAGGCTGGTGTGTGGCCTCGGGCTGCTGTGGGCCAGGCAGGGGGAGGGGGGGGAGGGGCCGAGTGTGCTGACCATCCACTGCCAGAAGACGGCCTCCCGGCTGCGCCACTCCCGCGCGGCCTCCAGACGGGCGTTCTCGCTCTCCAGCCTCCGGAGCAGCTGCCACACAAACCAGACACCGGGCTGAGCCAGAGCTCCACAGGCCCTTCAGGCCCCGGTGCGGGGGACCCACCCAGCACGCAGCACCCCTCCCTCTGGCCTGTGCCTGGCACGGGCCCCGCCCTGTCCCTGCGCCTCAGGGCAGCCCCACCCCCACGCCCGAGCAGGCCTCCAAGCACGCCTGCGGCCTCCACACCAGCCCAACTGCAAGCCCCTCAGGGTCAGCGGTCAGCCGGTGCCCCGACGGGGGCCTCTCCCACATCCCTCACTGACGGGGAGGGAACCCCGAGCCAGGGCAGAGGCTGTGCAGTGCCCAGTGGGGGAGTGATGGCGGAGCCCCCCCTCCCCCGAGCCACCACAGCCCTGCAGCCCCCTGCCCGGCACACACAGCTGGTGCCCAAGGACCCTGCGCCCCGAGGGCCCCACACCCGTGGACCCTGCATGAGTGCCCAGGTGGCCAGAGCTGGCTGACTGCCCACCACACACTCCGCACAGCCAGCCCCTGCGGAGCCCGCCCTCAGAGGGGCCCGTGGCAGGGCCCACCCCGAGCTGGGGAGGGGCCGTCAGTCCCCGCCTCCGGGACCCCTCCAGGCCGGATGCTCTCTGAACATGTGGCCAGGCGCCGGCCACGGGCACAGCTCCTTCAGGAGGGCAGAGGTCCGGGGCCATCCGGGAACCCAGGAGCGTGTTCCGGGGCCGGGACGAACATCCAGGACGTGGCAGCAGCCCTGTGGGCCCGTGCGTCCGCCCTACACCACACCAGCGACCCAGGGTCTCCCCTAGTCAGGGGGGGCCCCCTGCTCTGCCCCCAAGCCCGCCCTGTCCCTGGCCCCAGAGAAAACCCAGAACGCTGGCCAGGCAGCCAGGGGTCCGCCTGCTGCAGCTGGGATCTGGTCAGGGGGCCGCACGGCGGTGGCCGTGACTAGCAGACCGCGGACCCAGCCTAGTCCACCGCTGCGGCAGAAGGCAGGCGGCCTGCAGTGAGAACAGCCTGCGGCCTGGGGGCCCCCAGCCAGGGAGGCCTGGGACAGGCCAGGCGTACGGCCCACACGCTCACGCCTCAGGTACACGCGCACGTGTGCGTGCACACTTGCAGGCCAAGAACGGCCACGGGAAAGGGGGGACGAGCACGACTGGGCGGGGAGGCAACAGTCTCCTCCCTCCGAGGGTGGGGACAGGGCGGAGGCCCAGACCAGGAGGAAAAGGCACGGCCCAGCCCCTCTGCAGCACCCCTGGGGGCTCGCACAGCAGCCGCGGGGCGTTCCCGACGCCTCAGGTCCTGCATGGAGCTGGTCCAGGCTCCCACCAGCTCCCCGTCCAGAAGCCGTGGAGGAAGCTGGCCATGGCCTCCGCCGACCTGGCCTCCCACACCTGACCCTCCCACGCCCCAGGGACCAGGGGCCGGGCAGCACCAGGCCGCAGCCGGCGCAGCCTCTGCTCTGCCCTAAACTGGAGACTGGACAGCGAGCCAGGCCCTCACGGAGTTGACCTTAGAAGGGGACAGCGCCCAGAGCACCTCAGACACCCCAGTGCTGCCTCCACACCTCCAGGGCCCAGCTCAGCCTTTCCCTGCCCAGGTGGGGCCAGAGAGGTGTCAGCCAGGGACACAGGCTCGGCAGGCGCCCCTGCCCGGGCACCTGACCCTGCGAAGGCAGGCAGGCCCCTGCGACACACGGCTCGGGGGCTGGGACCTGCTGGGCTCAGAAGCGGGGGCCGCACCAGCCCCAGCAGCGCCCCGAGGACGGGCAGTGCCAGCCTCACACTCTGGACAGGCCAGGGCCCAGCCCTGAGGGACACCCGCCCTGGGCCCAGCAGAGCGGGGGCTGCTGGGCAGGGGTCCCCATCAGCAGGTGACACCTGCACGAGCTTGCGGTGCCAGCACTACCAGCCGGGACACGGCAGTGTCCCTCCTTCATCCCAGCACCCTCCTCGGCCGGGCCTGTGCCGGCCACCTCACCGCGTCCGGGCTGCGTCCCTGAGGTGCTGAGTGGTCTGGGGACCGGGGAGGCCCCAGGACGGGTGCCTGTCCCCATGCCGGCAAGGCATGGGGCCTGGCCAACAGGAACGGCTCCAGCCCAGGTCCTCCCCCGCCCCTCCTACCTCAGCCAACCAGCCCTCACCTGCCGGCCGCTCTCAGGGTGCCTGAGCAGCTCCGTTTCGGCCACAGACAGGTGGCCCAGGCTGCGGTCACTGTGGCAGCCTCGAGTGTACAAGTGGATCTGAAACAGGCAGCGCAGAGCCAGGCTCAGCAGGGGCCTGCAGGGCCGCCCCGCAGGCGAGGAGGCAGGTGGGCCAAGGTCGTCCAGGGAGGGACCGTCCTCGGCCCACGGGGACCAGCCCAGAGCCAGCCGGAAGGCCCTGGCGGTTCCCCTGGGGGCTCCCTGCCCACCTGGCTCCGGGGGCACGGCGGGGGGGCGAGAGGGGCACCCTGCATCCTTCTCCCTCCGCTCATCAAGTGCCGGGGCCGTCCGGTGCGAGAAACAGCCCACGGACAGGCTCGGCCGTCCAGTAGGGCCGGCAGTGAGATACAGAGAGACCCATCTGGGCCTGGGGGGCAGGGAGGGCACCCCAGCCAGGTGGGGCCTGCAGGCTCCCAGGTGGCGCGTCCCGAGCAGCAGGAGCTGAGGCCAGGAAAGAGCAATGAGGAGTTCCAGGAAAGGCCAGCTGAGCACAAGACCCTCAGCTGCAGGTGGAGTACAGGCTGGAGGGGTCGCAGCCCCAGGGAGCCCTGGGCCGGAGGGAACCCCAGGCCACCTGCCCAGCGCCTCTTAGCCCGGACCTTGCACTGGGCCTGCGGGGGCACCTGTGCCCACCAGCTGAGTCCAACCAGCCCTCAGGACGCGAGGGAGCTGCCCACCGCCTGCCAGCCCGCACCCTGGGTGCGGGGAGAGGAGGCGCCCAGACATCAGCTCCCTCGGGGCCTGGGGCCCGTTCCAGTGCTGGGTGACGCGGACCCTGAGGCCTGTGGGGACGTCTGGGGATGGAAAGGCCCAGCCCACAGGCGGGGCCCGGTTCTACCTGCCCTCGCCCCTCCTGGACCACCTGGAGCGCTGGGCCCAGGCCCCTCGCCACCCCAGGGCAGTGGCCCCCCGTCAGTCCCCAGCCAGGCCTGGGCGGCCTGTGTCCAGCCGGAGGCCGAGGCAGCAGCCCACACGGGGCCCTGCCGGACCGCCGGGAGGTGGGCGGAGAGCCCCGAGCGGCACTACCTTGCCCAGGAGGGCGCACTGCTCCTGCTGACTGGCCACCAGGTTTCGCCACCGGAGCCGCAGCTTCCCCATCAGCCACTGCAGGTAGCGGACATCCACAGGGCCATCTGCTTCGGCGCGCGGCACGGGCAGGCCAGGGCTGGCCAGGGCCTCACACTGGAGGGGGAGCGGGGTCAGACCTTGCTCCCACCCGCCACAGAGACCCGAAAAGGGAAAGCAGGCCCCTGAGAGAGGGGGCCTGGGGGTCCCCAGGGCACCAGGAGAAGAGTTGGGACCAGAGCTGCAGGCTCACCCCGCTTCGCCCCAAAGGACGGGCAGGGAGAGCAGGAGGCCTAGGGAGTCAAGGCAGGGAGGCCAGTGGGGGCCCGGCCTCCGTGCCTTCCCTGGGGCTGCCAGGCAACAACGCTGGCCCCCACGGGGCCGTCCTGAGCGTGGCCCAGACCTGTCCTCCCGGGTCGGGCGGGCCGCGCCCAAGGCCTCCGCCTGGTTGGGAGCGGCGCACCCCTGCCGCACACCCACCTCGCACACAGGCATCTCGTCGCCCAGCCGCACGCGGGTCTGGGCCAGCAGCCGCTCGGGCAGGGGCTCGCGGGCCAGCAGCCAGGACAGAGCCAGGAGCAGCTCGCGGCTGCCCTGGGAGCCGTCCTCGGGGAGCTGAGCGAGCCCCCGCCGCGGGTAGCCCTGGGAGAGCAGCTCCGACTTCACCCAACGGGCTTGGGCCTCTGCGGGTGAGAGGGCCAGCTCAGGGGGCCCCCTATGGGGAGTGACAGCACCCGGACCCCAACGGGGCCTCGCCGCGACTCCCACAGAGGCCCTGGGGGTGGTTGGGGCTTCACCGGAATGACGGGTGGGAGCGGGGCTTACGAGGTGGGAAGGACTAGAGCCTGCGGGGGCGGGTACTTACTAGAGGCAGGGGGCTGGTGGGCGGGGCTTGCCTTGGCGCGAGGCCAGAGCCTACGGGAACTGACCCCGGGAAGCAGGTCCTAGGGGGCGGGCTTACAAAAGGGGTGGGCGCAGCCAGATCCTCCGAGGCGGGCTTTAGGGAGGGCAAGGGGTCACCAGAGAGGGCGGGGCCAAAAGCTAGTGTGTGGGCGGGGCTTACCCAGGGCTGGGGAGGCCGTGGCGCCGCCAGCTCGCAGCTGCGAGAGCACGCGGAAGAGCAGCTGCCAGAGGGCGGGGGCCTGCGGGTACAAGAGGGAGGCGGTCAGCAGGCCCCGCTGCCTCCCTGCGGGGCCCCAGTGGGCCTGGCTGCCCTGCGCGCCTCACCGCCTCCGGACGGTCGAACTTGGCGCGGCGGAAGGTCTCGGGGCTGGGCCCAGCGGGCAGCGTCCGACTCAGCGCGGCGATGGCCGCGGGCAAGGCCGCAGCGGCGTCTGCCCGGTCCACCCGGCGCCGCCGCCGCCCCATGCAGCCGGCACCCGCCTCGCTCGATCGCGCGGCACCGCCAGCGTGTCCCAGCGTCCAATTCCCGCGCCGATGCCTCCACTGCAGCGCCCGCGCTCTCTCAGCGCGAACCGGGCCACGCCCCTCGCCCCGGCCCAATGAGCGGTGCCTCTGGCGAGAGAGCGCAGTCCGTCCTGTCCGCTGCGGAGGCACTTCCGGCCTGTCGGGGACCAATCGGCGGTAAGAGCTCCGGGAATCCGCCGTGTGCTGACCAACTGCGATAACACTGGACCCCACGGACCCCACGAATCAGCGCCCTACCCGCTGCACCAAACATTAGCCGAGCCCCTGCCCGAGTCTGCTCCCGCGCTCGTGAGGCCCTGCGGCCGGGAGGGTCGCACAAAGGGGCACCGCCGCCCCCGCGCGCCACCCTCCGCTTCCGCGACTACCTCTCCAGCCTGGCCGCCAGGGGGTGGCCGGATCCCGCAGCGCGCACCAGGACTGGCACGCGGGGGCCACCGCCAGGACCCCGGGGACGGCCCTGGACAGTTCAGCCACGCCGCGCGTGGGCGAGAGACCCCTCCGGGGAGGCCAGCGACTCTCCCCACCAAAACCTACATGTACAGACTTCCCGGCCCCGTGCATTCTCTGTCCGGCCAGCCCGCCCAGCCTCCCTCTGTCCTGCACCCTCAGTCTCTCCGTCCCACCATTGAAGACACAGTCTTTGAAGGAACAGATGGAAAGCGGTTGGGAGGCTCTTTGAGAGTTAGGCAGAGGTTAACCCCACAATGCCGGTCCTGAACGTATGAGAGCTGTGTTCACACACACGGAAGTGCACAACGGCTTTGTTCAGGACAGACTGAAACGAAACCAGGCTGCGGGCCCATCAGTAAGCCTCCCCCAGGGGGCAGTGGTCAGCAGCCGCCACCCTCCGCTGACACGTGCCGTGCCGCTGCATGGATGCAGCTCAGACGGGGAAGAAGCTTGTCTGTGCACTGTATCTACCAGACGTCAGAAAAGCCATCGTGTAGAGACAGAAAGCAGGCAGCCGTGGCCTGGAAAGAGTCCGGGAGGGGGACGGGGAACGTCAGTGGGCGCAGGGAGTGGTCTAGAGCTGGGCTGTTGCTGCGGAAGTGCGTGAACGCGTTGCAGTACTTGAATGTGCACAGGTCAAGTTTATGGGATGTAAATTATACCTGGAAGATATGAAGAAGATAGTGCGGGAGGAGCGGAAGGGAGAGAGGGAAGGAGAAGGCAGTCAGTCCTGGACCCCAGCCTTCCCCCAGCCCCAGCCAAGCCCACAGGAAATGGGGTCACGCCTGACCCCGTCTTCCAGTCCTCACGCTGGCTCACCTGCCTCCTGCCTCCGTCAGGCACAGCCAACTCCTCGTCCTTCCCCCAGCCTCCACCGCAGCTGCCCCTGGATCCCCCGCCCCAGCACCCCCACCTCGAGTAGGCACGCCTTCCCAGGAGCCGCAGTGGCCGGAATGGGGCGTTGCTGTCTGTTCCCCCAGACCCCAGCCTGCCCGCAGCTCCAACTGGGGCCGGCACAGGCCTCCAGTCTGGCCCTGCCTTCTGGCTCCCCAGCAGCCCAAAGGTCTTTCTGGCCACCCTCCCTGTGGCCTTCAGAATAAAACCACTGTCCTTAGCTCACCGGACGGTCCCTGATGTTGGGCCTAGAATGCTGTCCGGCCTGTGCCCCGACGGGCCTTCCTCCTGGACTGCTCGCCCCCAGCCTGAGGCCTGGCTGACCCACAGGCACCTCCCCCTGCACTCGCCCCACGGGCCCCCCCGGGCTGAGAGGGCCTCCGCTGCCGTCCCGCGCAGCTTGTCCCAGCCGCTCAGGGAGGCTTTCCTGTGCATCCACTGCCCACTGTGTCCCCGGGGCCGAGCCCAGCACTGTCCGCTGAGAAGCCCGGCCACCCCTCAGCACCCCTGCTGCCTCCTCTGCGCCCCCCGCCCACCCGTACCAGGAGCACCCCAGCCCCCACCTCATGGGATTCGGCGCCAAGACCACATGCCACGTTGCGATGACCCTGTGGTCAGCAGAGACCTGGGAGGGTGGCGTCTGCCAGGTCGCAGTGCAAGTGGCCAGTGGAGGACACGGGGAGGGCTCAGGGTGGCCCAGTCTGCAGCTGCTGCCCAAAGTGACGGGAGTTTCCGGAAAGCCCCCAGCAACACACAGCCAGTCCTCAAACGTCCCATTCGGGCAGCCGGCCACTGGGCAGTCCCTGGGCACAGGGTGGGGACAAATGAGGGGCAGGGGTGTCCAGGCAGACACCCCTGCTGATGCACAGCTGGCCGCGTTGGGGAGGTGAGGACGGGGACGAGGCTGGGGCAGCAGGAAGTAGCGAGGGAAGGTGGGGGCTTCCCGCCACACCTCCCCCAAAGCTCAGAAAAGGGAACCAGCGTGAGCTCCGCTGACGCACCCTGCGGCTGGCCCTCCCGCTCCTGCCCTTGTGGCCTGGTGCTCCCGCTGACCTATGGGCCCTCCCTGCAACGAACAGGGTCAGGGCACCTTCGGGCCCGGGCGCTGGGCAGCTGAGCCTCTGCGGGGCTGCCCAGGTCGGCCAGGGCAATTCCACGTAGAGGGGGCTGCAGCCTGTGCTGGCCCCCGGCAGAGCCCCGGGGCCCCGCATCTGGCCACAGGACCCCCCTGCAGCTCCCCTTAACCCCTCCCCAGCAACAGGCACACACAGGCGGGTCTTCCCAGTGTTGGGTTTATTGAGGGCATGGGGGGCTGCAGGGGGGTCCCCGGTGCCTGGAGTTAAGGCTGGGCGTCAGCCTGGAGGGGCAGCAGTCCAGCGGGCGGGACGAGGGCTCCAGAACCTGCGCAGAAACAGGGACAGCGGTGAGCACAGGCCTCATTCAGGCCTGGGGAGGGGGAGGCCCCTCCGAGGGCCCGCGGGGCGGGGGCGGGGCGCACCTGGGTCTACTTGAAAGTGTGACTCTCAGCGCCACCTCTCCCAAAGCCTGCAGAGAAAACAGAGGGCAGATTAGAGGAGGCTGCAGGCAGCGGGAAGCTGGGCCAGCCCTGGGGGGCGGGGGCGGGCAGTGGGGAGCATACCTTTGGGCCCGAACATGGCAGCGTAGCAGGGATGGTTGCAGTAGGGCTTGCCTTCATGCTGCAGAGAGAGCAGCCATGAGAGGCTGTCCCGCCGCCCACCCCCGCCCCTGCTGCCCCCCGAGGGCCCTCCCCTACCTCGGCATGGCCCCCCCCAGGCTCCTCCCCTACCTCGGCATGGCCCCCCGAGGTCAGCGTCTTCCCACACTTCTCGCACTTCAGACATGGCCGGTGCCAGTCCTTCCCCAGGGATGTCACCCGCTCGGCTGCAGGGGCACAGACAGGCCCTCGTGAGGCGCTGCTCTGGGGACACGGGGCACCCCCGCACACTCGCCCGCCCACCCACCCCCTCCAGCCACCTCTGCCCAGGGCCTTCCCCACCCACGCCTAGTGGCCCAAAGTCTCAGGTGGTCTTTGGGTCTCCAGACCCCTCGGCAAATCCGAGCACAGAAACGGGAGCAGGCGCTGGCCCTGGGCTGAGGGCTGAGGAGGGCCTGGCTGCCAGGTTAAGTCCCCCTACTCTGCCCCGCCGGGGCGGGGGCTTGTATTTCCTCCTGCGCCTCCGGCGCCTCCAGTGGGTGGGACCCAGGGCAGGAGGGCGGTGCCTGGGGCCAGAGGGTGCCTGGGATAGCGCCCCGGGTACCGGTTTCCGCATCTGTTTTTCCTTAGCGCTGGGAGGGGCAGCGGGGTCCCCGCCCAGGGCGCGCCCAGGAGGGCAAGGCGGGAGAGACCGGGACCTAGAGACGGGGAGACCCGGAGGTGGAAAGCCCAGAAACAGGGAGACAGAGGGTCCCCCCACGCAGGGGTCCCAACTCACACATCCAGGCGGCCGCTTGCAGGACAACAGTGTCCGCTCGGCGCGGGGGCGGGGGGGCGGTTTACGGGGGTCCCCAGGCATCCCCGCCCCGAGCGAACTCTGCCAGGTCGCCCCCGGGCTCGGAGCGCGCGGTCCGGCTGGGGACGGGCCAGGGTGTGCTCACCGAAGTACACCTCCTTGTCACACTTGGGGCACTTGGGCATAGCGGCGGCGGATCCGTAGGGACGGCTGGGCACGGAGAGCAGCGCGGACTGGGTGGGACCTGCCGGGCGCGCGCCTTTCAGGGAAGCTGGGGCCCCGCCTCTTAGAGGCCCGCCCCTTGCACCCCCCGCCCGCCCCCTCCCCCCCTCCCCCGTCTGACACTGGACCCAGGGACGTCAGCTCCAGATCAGAAGGTCAAGAAAGGCCACCTGGGGTCGACTCTCGCCTCTGGGCAGGTCCTGGGACTGAGCCGACCATGAGGCAGTGGCTAGGGGTGCACAGGGCACCTGTGGGGACTCCCCAAAGGGTGGGGCTGCTCAGGCGGCTCCAGCCCCACCCCTCGCCCAGCGCTGTGGAGTACGCGTGTCCAGGATCTGCGCAAGGGGCTCCCCAGGAGCAGAAAGGTGGACCCCACTCCCCGTCCTTGCCCCCTCCCCACCACGCGCACATGCTGGAGCCCCCAGAAGACAGGCTGGAGGGGGGAAGGGACAGCTCACCTCCAAATGCAAATAGATGCAAACAGGCTTCGCGACAAAGCCCCTTGCCCTTTGACCCGGCCCTTCCCTGGGTATGGGGTGAGGACGTACCAAGGGAGTCAGCCTGGTAACCCCCCAAGAATTCCCCTCAGGCCTTCACACGCAGGATATCCCAGCCTCTGTGAGCCCCCAACTCCCGCACCCCTGGGAAAGCCATCGGACCACAGAGGGAACGCCCCCGGGGCATCGGGAACTCGGGACTGGGTGCCCCCTCGCTTTGCCGGACGAGTCTCTGGGTGGGGCTGGTGGGGGGCCGCTCCCCCTGTCTCTCCAGAGGCGGGCTCCTTATCTCTGGGGAGGCGCCTGCGGGGCAGTGCAGTCCAAGTTCGCGGCCCCGGACAGTGGCTGGCCCACGCCCCCCCCCCCCGCCCCGTGCCAGGCAGAGACCTTGGGACCCGCCCGCCCCAGGAATGGGGTGGGCCCAGGGGACTGGCGCTGGGCTGTGGGGTCCCGGGCCGCCTCTCTCCGGCCAGCAGGGGAGTGCTGACTACAAACCGGGACCGCCCTCCCCCCCCCGGGAACCCTCCTGGTCCCCGGCACTCAGGCCCCTCCCTCCCTGCGCCGGGGGAAGGGGCTGTCCCACCTCTGCTCGGTACAGCCCCAGTGCCACACCCAGCTTCTTGGCTTCACCGCACCCTCCCTTCTGTCCACAGTTTTACCGGCCTCGTCCTCTGCCCCCAACACACCCATCTTGAAAAACACATCATCTCTGGGGCTGGCCCCACCCCCACAGAGGGCGCTGGAGACCCTCCTGCCACGGGGCCCAGGGGCTCCTGGCCTCCCCACGCACAGGCTCGGCCGTGGCGGCAGCCAGCGACGCCCGCCTCGCCCTCCCTGAAGCCCACCTGCCCACCCCCCAGCCCGGTCTGGGAGACCAAGGAAAGCCGTGGGCACCTCCCCCTCAACACCCCGCCGACCCCAGAGGCTGGCCTGGGAGGAGGGGAGGTGTTCCCAGGGTGGTAGGGTGACAGAGGCCACGCCCCAGGGTCTCCTGCCAGTGAGGGGGCCACACTAGACTCCACGCCCCTGTGGCCTGCTCTCCACACCCCTCTCTAGTGGTTCCCTCCGCCCTGGGACCCCTTCGCTGAGGCCACAGTTCTGCCTCCGCTGGGCCTCTGCAGGCCCAGGCTCCTGGGACCCCCCAGGGGCCGGCTGTCCCCCACCCTCGAGACTGGGGTGCATGCCCTGCACCGGGGGAAGCCCCAGTCTCCCGCCCACCCACACCAGCCTGCTCCCCCCTTGGAGCCCAAAGCCCAAGGTCTCAGCTGGGCCGCTGCCCTCTCGGCAGGCACCCTGGGCACCGCACTGTGGGTCCTGGGGCAAAGGCCACAGGCCAGCCCGACCGCCCCACAGGCCCCCACTGCTCCCAGGACCCCCTGGCCTGCGCCTGCGCCGCTGGCCCTGCCGAGCAGCAGGGCGGGTCCTGGATTCCCTCATCCCCTGGCTCTGCGGAGAGCGGAAGGGGGAGACCAGTAATGATGGGGGCGGGGCGGGGCCCAGGACGGTGGCCGGGGGCGCGGGGCGGGGGGGAGGCGCGTGGAGCGGCTGCCACAGGACCACACATACTGCACACTCCACCTGTGGCTGCCGGGGTCGCTGCCCCTCGTGGGTACGAGGCAGAGGCCTTGCGCCCCCGGGTGGGGCTGCCTGCCAGGGTCCTCAAGTGACAGGCGCCTGCACTTGCAGGCCTCCCTGTGTCCGTGAACCTGCAGGCACACCTGTGGGGGGGGCGCCGGGGCCTCTCTCTATCTCTGCGGTGTGCACAAGGCTCCCCTGGGGCACTTGGCTTCCCAGGCCTCCGTCCAGCCCGCAGCCCAGCCCCTTCAGAGCTCAGGGCCGGTGGGGCAGTGAGCTGGCCTTTGTCCTCCTCTCCACCCGCCCCCTCTCACCCTGGGACTCCAGTTTCACCCTGGGGGAACCCCCCCCAAAACTGAAAACTGGGTGATAAATTCTTCCTAGTCTTCCCTTTTGTTGTTGCTCATTGCCATGGTTACAGCACGGCGGAGGAGGATGCTAAGGGGGGGCCGAGGGTCATGGCCTCGCCCTCTGGTTGGTACACAGCAGGGTTTTTCCAGACACCACACACACACACACACTCTCTCTCTCTCTCTCTCTCTCTCCCCCCCCCCCCCCTTGAACCCGCCCCCACAGCTCCAGCCACAGGCTGGTGGGCCCCTCCAACTCTGCCGAGCCCGGCACCCGTCTCGCCGGCCCACAGGGTGGGGGCCCCAGTCGGCCTCTGTTCCCCAGCCACCGGGAGCCCCCGCCTCCCACCAGACCCCTGTCCAGGCACCCTGCCTGTGGCAGGCCTGACAGCGTCCTGAGACCTGGGCCCCACCGGGGGCAGGGCCTGCTGTTTCCATCAGCACACCCAGCCCCAGACACACTGGTGGGGGGTGCTGAGCTGGCCCAGGTCTCCCCGACTCAGGACCGACCTCGTTCGGCCCTGCACCCTTGCCTCTGCTCTTTTGGGGTGCTGTTGGCATTTGTTGCAGAAACAAAGGGAAGACACACGGAACCCCTTCATAGACCCCGAGGTGCGGCCCCCGGCCTTGTCCCCCGAGGTGCCAGCACCTGCCAGCAGGCCCTGGGGCCATGTCTGCAGCGCGAGGGACGGAGTGGCCAGAGCAGGACGCACAGCACCCAGTGCCCGCCCGGCGCTGCCTCTGTGCCCACGCGCCCCGCCCGCACTGGCACAGCGCCAGGGCACCCGGGGCCCGGAGCCCTGGGGCAGAGCCGAGGGCAGCTCTGCCGGCCCACCCTTCCCTCTGCAAGCCCACGCCAACGCCCACCCAGGCTCGGGAGGGATCCAGGTGGGAACCAGACAGGCCCCTGCCTCCCAGAACCCTGGAGAGGACCCCGGGCACCCACCGTGGGGGGGCTGGGCCCCGTGACCTCTGAGGAATCCGTCCACGGGGTCGCCCGCCCCCCAGCAGGGAAGCTCTGGTCCTGGGGCCCCTCCCACCCACAGACCAAGGCACGTGCCCTGGCCTCTCCCCTCAGGCCCACACCCAGCGCCCCACCGGCCTTCAGGTGAGCTCCTCCCTGTGGGAGAGCCAAGGGGTGTGGACAGGTGTGAGACTGTCCCCTCCTAGGCCCAGAGGCTGGCTGGGCCTGTCCCCTGCTCTTGCACCCAAGTGCCCTGAGCAGCCACCTCGTGTTCCGGGACAGCTGCTGAGCCTGGAGACTGGCGTGGCTTCCTCCTCGGGCTGCAGCCTGCCTGCCCTTCCCTGAGGCCTGGAGGAATGAGGGACATGCAGACGTTCCCAGGGCCTATTTTCAGCAGCGTGTCTCAAGGGAACCCCTGTCTGCCCCAAGGTCTGGTCCCAGGGTGGGCCTGCTGGGGCTCCTGGCCCGGAGGCACGGGGGAAGGGACAGACTCTGCCCTTTCCCAGAAGGGCTCTGCCCTCCCGAGCCCAGGTGGGAGGAAGGGCCCTCCCTCCACCTCAGGCCACAGGGGAGGGGTGGAGCTCACGCCTCCAGCTCCCTCCACCCGGCAGCCTGGGGCCTGGGCCGGCCAGATGGAGTTCCCCCCCGCCCCCCGACCCCGACCTCCTTTAAGTTGAGTGTGGTTCCAGGAATCTCCGGGTCCTGGAGCCAAAGCCCAGGCAAAACCGCCTCAAATTCCAGCCTCACCAGCCCAGCTGCTGGGCCTGTTCAGGGCCCTGAGCACCCCCCTCAGCCGCACAAGCCCCACCGCCAGGCGGGCTCTGGGAAAGTGTGCCGCCCACACCTGGGCCCTGGAGTCCTGCCAGTCCTCGGCCTGCCCTGTCCTCAGGGAATTGGCACTCAGCCCCTGGCGACAGGGGCGACAGCCGGCGGGCTCTCAGCGCGCTCTGACCCGCGGACCAGAGGGGTCCTGCCGCCCCTTCAATCCTAAAGACGCTCTGCGCTGCGCGCGGTCCGCCCGGAGGCCCCAGCGGGGGCAGGGCTGCCCAGAGGGTCTGGGCCTCAGAGCAGGGGCAGCGGGGGCTTGGAGGGGCCTGGGTAGGAGTCGTGGCAAGACTGGACCAAAGGGAGGCCGGGCGCGGGCAGCCTTTGGGGACGCTCGGCTGTTGGGCGTAGCCCTGGGGTTCTGAGGGGACAGTGAGGGGATCAGATGGCCCTGCAGGGCCGCCTCGCTGGCTGCGCAGGGGAAGGAGGTACACCCGCGACGCAGAAGCCAAGTCCCTCTCCCCGCATCTCGCGGACGAGGCCGGGGCGGCGGCGCCGGAGGAAGCACCTGGCTTCTGTGTCTCTGTGTGTGGCGGGGAGGGGCGCTCCTGGAGCTGGTGCCCCCGAGGAGGCCCGGACTGCGAAGGGGTCACCGCCCACGCGCCCGGCAGCGCCGCGGAGACCGACAGTAGCGGCACCGCCCCGGTTTCCATAACAATCCCTTGGAAACAAACAAGGCAGCGCGTCATCCTCCGCCCGCGGGAAACGGGGCGCGCCTTCCCCAGCCAGACCCGGGTGCGGGGTGGGGCGCTCTGCGTCCAGGCGGAGCCGGGCCCGTCCTCGGTGCAGCCGACCAGTGCGCCCCTCACCCCCGCCGGGATGGGCGAGGCCTTCCACTAACCTAGACCCTGCCCCCTCCCGCGGCCGGGGCCGGGCGCGACACTCTGGACGGCTCCTCCCCACATAGTTTCCACTGGAGGCTCCCGGGGGAGGGGCCAGGCTGTGCCGTCCGCAGCCCCCATCCCCCAGAGGACAGGAATTTCCCATCCAACACCGGGAGCCCGCCCCCGGGGCAGCCCCGGGGGCGCTGCGGGAAGTCTGAGTTCTCCCACTGCGACCCCCGGATGGCGGTCCGCGGCCTGGCGGGCGGTGGGGACGAGGAGGGGAGCGGCCCTCGGAGCACGCGTCGGCGTCCCAGCCTGCCCAGGACTCTGCCCCGGGGTCGGTGGGGGGACTGGGGACGCTGGGTACCTGCTAGGCGTCCCCCCACGCAGCTGGCCCACCCTTCCCATGCCGGCCGCACCCCGGGTGGGAGGCGACGCTGGGTGCCCGGCTGGAGCCGGCAGGAGGGTGGCCTGGCAGGGACGGACACCGGAGCTTGTCGCTCCGCCTTCCGGGACACGGATGGCTGCTCGTGGGACAAAGGGCCTGGCGTGACGTTCAGCTGAGCCTGAGCCTGCGGACTGGAGGGGGGTGGGGGTGGGGGCACGAGGAGCCGACCGCCTGTGGCCCAGAGCTGACCCGGCCCGGCTGCCCCGGGCTCCGGGGAGGAGGGGGAGGCGTCCGGAGAATGGCCGGCCCGGGAGGAGCGCGCGGTTTCTGCCCCGGGGCGCCGAGTGGAAGAGAAGGCGCGCCCTCTGGCGGGCAGCCCCGGAGCGGCAGATAAAGGGAAGGCGGCCGTGAGGAGGAGGCCCCTAGGAGCTCCCAAGGGGTCCAGGTTGAAAGGGCAAAGCCTGGACCGCAGAGGAGGTGGCGGAACTTCGTTACCACCGCACCCGCAACTGGGACGCTGGTTGGGCAGGAGCGGCCAAGAGTGGGGCACTAAGGCCCCCCTCGGCCCCCCCACCTTCTATCCTTGGGGCACCACCCACGCCGAGGCGGGCAGGCCACCACGTTGCCAGCCCTGCAGACAAAAGCCACGGCAGAGCCCCGGGAGCCTGGGTCTGACCACACCCTCCCCGTCCGGTCCCTCTGGGGTTCCAGGCTCAGTCCTGGGCTGGAGGCTGACCTCAGGCCTCCACCCTTCAGCCCCACCCTGCAGAGACCCCCTCTGGGCGCCATCTCCTCTCCCTCCCCTGGCGCGCCCTCTGCTTTACCAAGGCCGATCTCCTCCGGCCCCCGGGGGTCTCGGACAGATCCTGGCACTACCGGCTCTAGTGCCCAGTGTGGCATTTCCAGGGGTCCAGCCTCCAGAGGCAGGTGACTTCAGCATGACATGGCTGTGCCCCCTTCTGGGCCCCCCCCCAGGACGCCTCCACCGCCCCACCCCCACCTCTTGGCACCCCCCCGCAGCCCCCTGACCCCCAAAGCCGGGCTCGGGCATGTTGGGGGAACTTGTGGACAAGACAAGGGACCTTGTCCTGGACTCGTCCATCGCACAACCAGAGACGGAGCTGCGTTCTGCGATCCCCAAACACTTTATTGACAGCAAAATCCTCCTGTGGGGGTGCTCCCCGCGCGGGTGGGGGCAGTGCTGGCGCGGCAGTGTGAGGAGGCGGCGGGACGTCCAGGGGCGCCGCGGGGCTGTGGCCGCTGTGGCCAGGGCGGCGGAGGGAGATAAATAACACTGGGCGGCGTGGGCAGCGCGTGCGCAGCGGGGGGGGGGCAGGCGGCCACCGCAGAGAAGGGCCCCGCTGGGGCCATGGGACACACAGGGCAGCACGCGGGGTCAGGGGGCCCGAGGGCGCGAAGCGGGGCGCAGGGCTGGGACACCTGGGGAAACGGCGAGGGGCCGGGCTCTCCCGAAGACGCCCCCGCCGCTTCCCTCGCCCCCGACAGGCAGGCCCCGGACGCCCAGGCGGGGGGCAGAGGCTGGGCAGGACTGGGCAGCAGGCGCTCTCCCCACAGCGCCGGGCAGGGGCCCCGGGGCGGGGGCCTAGGGCTGCACTTTGCCCTCGGGGTCCCTGTCATAGATGTAGCTGCCCACGGCTCCGGTGTTCACTCCTGCGGAGAAGGGACGGCAGGGTGGTGGGGAGGAGGGGGTGGCGGAGGGGGCGCCTGGCTCCCCGCCCTCCAGGCCATACTCACCCTTGGGTCCGAAGAGAATGCCGTAGCAGGGCTTGTGGCAGTAGGGCTGGCCATCGTGCTGGGGGCGGGATGGGGGTGAGGGGGGGTCCACCGGCGCCCCCTGGCGGCCCCCTCCTTGTCCGCGCCCCTGAGGGCCCTCACCTCCCGCAGCCAGGACCAGCCCACTCACGTGGTAGGGGGAGGCGGGGCAAAGCCCACACGTGGTGAGCTATGGAGCCTGCGCACCCTCCAGCCTCTACTCCGGCCACCAGGGGGCAGCCACCACCGCCCTGTGCTGCCCTACCCTTGGGAGCAGCCTGTCCCGCCTGTCCCGCCCGCACCCCGCCCGCACCCCGTCCAGGCTCCCCGGTCGGGCCCGGGCCCCTGAGCAGCCGGCGTCAGCGCGCCCTCACCTCCGCGTGTCCACCCGGAGTCAGCGTCTTCCCACAGCGCTCACAGCGCAGGCACGGCCGGTGCCAGTCCTTGCCCAGGGACGTCACCTTCTCGGCTGGGAAGGGGGAGAGAGGAGCAGTGACACCAAGGCCCTGGCGGGCGCCCCCTACGGGCTGGGGCTGGGGCTGGATGTTGTCACTCACCAAAATAGACCCTCTTGTTGCAGCGAGGACACATGTTCGGTTCCCCAGTGAAGGTGGTGACACTAGACGCTGGGGTGGGGGGGAGGAGTCAGGGTGGCTGAGCGGCTCCCGGGGCTCCCACGCCTCCCCGACCACACAGAACCCGGCCCACCTTTGCTGGGCCCCTTCGGGGGGCCACTTGCCTTCCGCTCCTCCGCTCGGGCCACAGGGACCTCGATGGGGCCAGTGACCTGCGGGCCCTCTGAGGAGGGCTTCTCGTAGATGTAGGAGCCGGCGCCCCCGATGTTCACACCTGCCGCGTGGCGGGCACTGTGGGCCGGTGGCCAGCAGCCCTGCCCACACCCAGGCCTTACACCTCCCCCCGCAGCCCACTCCACAGCAGGACCCTGAGCCCAGAGGGGAGGGTGTGGAGAGAGGGGCGGGGCGGGCCCCCCCACAGGCTCCATGGCCCAGCCCCAGCAGAGCGGGCGGGCGGCCCCGTGCTCACCTTTGGGTCCGAAGAGCGTGGCGTAGCAGGGCTTGTGGCAGAACGGCTTCCCATCGTGCTGGGTGGAGGGCAGGGAGGGGTGAGGGCCACGCCAGGGCTCTGGGCCTCCCTCCCTGCCTGAGGGCGGGGAGAGCCGCGCGGCCCCCAGCCCGGCCCCCCGCCCGGCCCCCCGCCCGGCCCGGAGAGGGGGCTCACCTCGGCGTGGCCCCCGGGCGTCAGTGTCTTGCTGCAGCGCTCACACTTGAGGCAGAACTTGTGCCAGTCCTTGCCCAGGGAGCTCACCTTCTCGGCTGGGAGTGGGAGGGGACATCAGCGCAGCCACGCGCCCGCCCTGCTCCTCCGCGCCCTGGGGCCCCGCTGGTCTCAGTCGCCCTCAACATCGCACCTGCCCCCGCAGCACGCCTGCCTCACACGTGTCCCTCACACGTGTCCCTCACAGGTATCCCGAAGCATCCCAGAACCCCCCGGTCAGGATCCCATGGAGGTGGCGGGGGCCCCTGCTGAGGGGGGCAGCCCTGCGCCTCGAGGCCCCCTGGGGGGAGGCCTGCCCACACCCCCCAGTGGAAACCCCCGGGGACGGGACGCCTGCCTGTCTACACTTGGCACTGAGAGCCCCCACTCCACGGCCTCCAGCTGCTGCTTTGGAGCCCGAGGTCTGGGACCAGCTGCTGAGGGTCAGGTCAGCTGTGCACCGGAGCCCCTCCCCCCCCCGCCCCAGCCCCCTGCCCCACCCCCACCACGGGGCTGGTGCTGGCGGCCACTTTCCAATGGAGGGAAGTGGGGGAACTCCCCAGGGTGCACGGCAGGAAAAGGGTGGAGGAGAAGGCAGGAAGAAAGGCCGGAGACCGGCCGGAATTCCGGGAGAGGGGGCCTGACCAGCGGCGTGGGGGCGGGGTCAGGCCAGCTGGGCCCTGGCACCTGGGCGGAATCTGGCCAAGGGCCTACCAGCTTCTGGTCCCACTCACACAGAGGTGGCTGCCGGGGCCGGGACTCCCCAGGAGCCCCGGCAGCCTGGGAGGGAGCGCCCTCCACGCCCGCGCCCGGGCGGGCGGGGGTGCTGCAGCCCAGGCTCTGGATGTGGCCACTCAGGAGCAGGGGAGTGACCCTCAGACCCAGCAGGCAGGTTGGTGGCCACACGCTACTGGCAGAGTTGGGAAGCCAGAGTTCACTGGGTCTAATGGCGTGGAGGGCCCCCGGCACCCCACCCAGCTGCACTGTTGTTGGGACAACGGCACAGAACCCTGACATCGCTCTGGACATCCAGCCCCAGTTCCACTCTGTCCACTCTGCTCCCACTCAGGTGTCGGCTGCTGGGGAGCAGGCAGGACCCCCGCCCCCGCCCCCAGCGCCTCCGGGCCAGGACGCCTGCCAGCGGGTCTGAGCGCCTTTGTGTTCTGCTGGGAGCCCACGGCAGCCCGGGCTGGCAGAGTGCTTTCCGGCCTGTCTGTCCACAGCCCTGTCCGTGCAGCCGGAGGTCACTGCGCCGGCCTAGCTGGGGGCAACGTCGTGGGCAGCGGGGCCGGCAGGAGGACCCAGGGACCGTCCCCAACCCGGAGTCTCACAGTCAGGACCCCTCTCTGGGATGGGGACAGAGGGCTGCGGGGGGTGGGAGGGTTCCTGGGAGGCAGCCGGAAGCCCCTGGGCTCTCAGCCAGGCCAGAAGCACTGCAGGCCAAATCCGGTCCCTCCCCTCTGGGAACAGCAAACAACCGTTGGCCTCCTCCTCCTCTGGCTGTCAGCGGTCAGCCGGGAGGCCAAGCAGCTTCCTTCATGTCAGCCCGACCCCATCGCAGACCCTGACCAGGGAAGGGCCCCCTGCTTGTCCCCACCCTCTGGCCGTCCTCCCGTCCGGCTCTGCCTTTCCTCTGGCAGGCGTTGGTGGGAGGGCCGGGGGGCAGGCACTTTGCTGCCCTGGCTAAGTCTGGCGGAGGATCAGCCAGGAGGAGGGAGAGCGGGTGAGTAAGCCAGTCAGTGGGCGAGCGCCAGGAGGCACCGCCTACCCAGGGGGCATCCTGGCGGAGACAACCCCCCTCCTGCCCTGCTACCCCTTTCGGTCCAGCGCTGTCTGACCTTGAGGAGGGGGTTCTGGCCACCGGGACTCCAGTGCCCTCTCATGTTCACCGGGACTCTTTTGTCACCCCACCCCACCTCACCCATGGGAAAGTCCTCGGGCACCAAAGAAGAGAGCGCGTTGGGACACGCGGGAGGTAGAGGCCAAGGTCGCCCCCGCGTGGATCGAGTCCAGACAGACTCCGGATCTGTCCCGGCCCGGCGTGGCCAGAGGTCGGGGTGCAGGTTGGCGGTCACTTGGAGCCACAAGGGGCCGGGACACGTATCCGCGGGTAGGAGAAACAAGGGTATGCGGGGAAGTCAGGAGCGCGCGGGAGGCGCTCCGAGCGCGCGACCGCACCCGACCCCGCCCCGCTCGGCATCGCCGCCGGGAGGACCTGGACGCGCCCGCGAACCCAGGACGCTCCCCCAATTCTGGCCTCAATCGGGGGACCATGCACTCCCGCGCCACCCCCTCCGGCCGCTTCTGGGTTCCGGCGTAGCAGCCCCCACATCGTGGCAGCTCCACCCTCCGGCCGCACCCGAAAGAGCCGCGCGGCGAACCGGGTTGGGGCCGCGCATCCCGGGGCGGCGGCCGGGTGCACGCCGAGTTCCGCGGGATTGCGCGAGTCTGCGGCCGGGGGCTGGCCGCGAAGGGTGGTGGGGTGCTGGCCGAGCCCGGGCACTCACCGAAGTACACAGTCTTGTCGCACTTGGGACACTTGGAGGCCATGGTCGTCGGTGCGCCCGGTTGCTCGCGTCCTCCGCCCGCGCCCGTCTCCGCGTCGCCGCCGCCTCGCCCGCCCCGCCCGCCAGGCTGTCCGCGCGCCCATTGGCTCTGCGGTCGGGGCGGGGCGTCGGGATCCCTCCCTCCGGGTCCCACAGCCTGGAGAGGGGGCGTCTCCTGGGCGGGGGAGCACCTGCCGGGCGGGCGGGGGACGGTGGGACCAGCCTGGCGCCCCTAGGCCCCACGCGCTAAGCGGCCTCAGCTCGGCTTGGCCGCGCCTTGCCTATTTCCATGGCAACGTCGGGGCCGCTGGCCGTGGCCGCAGGGCGAAGCGGGGGGTGCGCGGTCCCCTCGGTTCCGGGGAGCCCTGGTCGGCGGGGCCAGGGCTGGGTAGGGCGTCCCCAGGACAAGCCGACGGACGCCCCGACGGCAGGCCCGCCCGCCACGCCCGGCGCCGGCGCCCAGGCTCCCCCAGAGGACCCCACCCCCACCCGGTCGCGCGCCCCTCTTCCCTTTGTTGCTCGGTTTCTATAGCAACGGCCGTGAGGCGGGATCCGAGCCGGATTCCTGGCGGGCTCGGCCACCCAGCCCAGGCCCGGTCCCGCCCCCTGCCCCACTATGTCCGTGGTGCCGAAGGCTCAGCGGGTGGAGGGCAGGGCGCCCGCCACTTCCAAAAACAGCGCGAGAGAAACTGCTGGAAGGGCGGGGGAGGGGGCGACCAGCAGCCAGTGGGCAGCAGGGTTATGCTGGGCGCTGACGGCGCACGAGGGGGCGCTGCCCTCCTGGGGCGGCAGGAACAAAGGAGAGAAAGGGGAAGAGATGGGGGCGCGGGCGGGGGGGCGGGGGGCGGGGTCGAGTGCCCTCTGTACCCGGCCCCCGGGGCCGGTGCACCCTCCTCTGGACCCAGTGCAGGACCCAGAGCCTCCGCCTCCAGACTCTTGGCCCCAACCGTCCTGGTGGAGCGCAGGAGAGCCGCGGCCCTGCAGCACCCCCGCCCCTTCACCCCGGGGGCCCTGCCTGACCACCCTGCCCTCCCTGGCGCCTCAGCGAGCCTGCAGAGCCCAGCCTCACTCCAACGCCCATCCCCACCCTGCAGGGGGAGGGGCGGGGGGACCTGGAGCACCCTCTGGCCTCCTCTCTGGGGTTTCCCGCCCGAGGCCCTTCCTCGGGCCTCCAGCCCCAGCTGAGCCTCAGCCTGTGAGACGGACAGACCCATTCTCAGGCCCAGATGACCAGAGCCAGCACCCACCCTCCCAGGTGGTCAAGGCTCTGTGCCCACCCCCTCTCTTCTGCCCGGTGCACCTGCCCGGCCAGAGGAGCTGGAGGACCCGGGGCCTGGCGGCATCCAGCGCCGGTGTTTGCCGAGTGCCCTGGATGACAGCCTCCAGAGCCCAGGGGTTCCTGGTGCCCCGCCCGGCCCAGCTCCTTCGGGCGCCCCCCCCGCCCCCACCGTGCACTCACGCCCCACAGCCACTGAAACACAAGATCCCCCGAGCCTGACTGACCAGCCTGACCGGCCCCCTCCCTGTCCGCATCCGGCTCTGGCCCCTGGCCAGCGAAGGCGGAGATGGAGACAGGAGGCCTCCGCGGCCCTGCTCCTGGACCGGCCGGCCAGCTGTGGGGCCCCGCAGGTCAGCCATTCCCAGCCCTCGCCTCGCTCAGGCCGGGTGTCAGGTGTCTCTGAATAATGCATGGCCCGCTGCCCGCTGCTTGGCGCAGCCTCTCCCTGCGGTGGAGGGTGGGCTGTGGGCACAGGTGTCTTTGGGGAGGTGCCCAGGGCCACGGCCCTGCTGCCGAGAGTGGGGTGGACCTGGGAATGGCGTCCAGCACTGGCCAGCGGCCCTGAAGATCGAGGGACAGGTGCCCTGCCCCCAGCCACAGACCCTGGGCCTGAGCCACAGGCTCCCTCCTGCGCCAGAACTATTCTGGGCCTGGCGGGAAGGGACGCCGATCAATAGCCTCGGAGCAATAGCGTCCGCCGCTGAGGGGACAGGGTGGGGCGGGGACAGGACGAGGGAAGCAGGCAGGGCCCTCGGGTGCCAGGTCGAGTGGCCGGGTTGAGGGCGGGCCCCTCCCCTGGGGCCACAGTGGCGAGGCTCCCTGTGGATCTCCTGGTTCATGCGCCCTGTCGTCGTGGCGACACTAGCCAACGACAGCCGGATCCTGGTCTCAGGTCCCTGCAGGGACCCAGGGCTGGGCTCCTCCGGGGCGGGGGGAGGCTTCGCAGGTCTCCAGGAAGGCCCCTCAAGGGGACTCTTCCCACCAGAGATGGCCCTCGCCCTGGGGGAGGGGCTGCAGCCCTGGGCACCAGGGCCTCGCTCCCCTGGCCTGTGTCCGCTCCCCCTTCCTGAGTCCCTCCTCAGACCCCAAGCAGCCCAAGCGTGGACACAACAGCCCAGGCCCTGTGCTCGGGGACCCCAACTCCTCAGGGCCTGCCTTCCTGAGACCTGGGGGGCGGCACGTGGGGAGGAAGCCACTGAGTCTGAGGAGGGGAAGGGGGCGTGGGTGGGCAAGGGGGGCAGGGCCGGGGAGGGCCCCCACCCCGGGGGCAGCCGGTCTTCCTCGAGGTCGCCGTCTGGTCTCCCAGCTGGGACGCAGCTCTGTCCTGGGCAGCGAGGGCCACGGGGGGCAGGACACCAGCTGGAGGTGGCCAGGGTGCTGCAGACGCTTCTCCGACACCCTGGCCTGTCACCCAGCGGGCCCAGCACAGGCTGTCGGGCGGGGGCTGGGGCGCCCCTTATCTGTCTGTTTCCAGCCAGGGAACAGACGCTTCTATTTTCAGCCCCTGACTGAGATGTGCACACACCTCGGGGGGAATGAGAGGGCCCCCCGGGAGGCCAGCCGGGGTGGCCCGGCGGGAGTGTCCCTCCCTGACCCTTTCCTCCGGTGGCCGCCAGCACCTGTCCCGGGGCCTGCGAGGGTGGATACCGTGGGCGCCTCAGGTCGGGTTTCCGAGAACAGACTCGCTGAAATCTGAGCAAATTCTCACGCGGAAACGCCGCACCTGCTGGGGTTGCCCCCAGCTCTGTGGCTCTGGACAGAAGCCCTGGACAGCTGGGCAGGGCTCTGCCAGGAGCAGGACAGTGGGCCGGCCACCCCAGCTGCGGCAGGAGCCACACGGCCATCGGGGCTGGGGCCCTGGCCGGGTCCGGGCCACCCCGGCCGCGGGTGCACAGCGCCAGCTCCACCCGGCGAGGGCCCTGAGCCGCACTGGCCCTCCTCCTGCGCCCCCGGCCCTGGTGGAGGCAGCCGTGCGGGCAGCGGTGAGGGGGCAGGGGAAGACGGCCGCAGGCCGCACTGCTCCCTGCCAGTCCCTGGGAGGGTCCTCTGCCCCAGGGAGATGCCTGGGCCCGGAGCCTCCCACCCGACGCCCCAGGTGGCCCCCCAGGCTCAGAGGGGGAGACGCAGGGACAAAAGACGAGGAGAGTCTAGTTGGTTTTTTCTTTTTATGAGTTTTTTTTTCTTTGTTTTTTTAATATGAAAATTACTTGAAAAGACAAGGGGCCAACCCCACCAGGCAGCTCGGCCGGCTGCTGGCTGCGCCGATCCTAACATTCCAGGTGTAAGTTACAGAGCTTAAGTTCATCTACAAAAAAAGTAATAAAAATAAAATTTAAAATGGCACCTTCAACGGAACACAACAAAACTTCCAGCCGGCCCACGAGCCCGCAGTGCGGTGCGGTCACTGGGCGGCTCCTTACTCCGCTCCGGCCAAAAAAGTAACACAAAGCTAAAAACAGCTCCTGGGCTCTCCCGGAATAAGTTAACCGCACTTTTCCCCACGCGTGGCCCAAGGAGCAGTTTCTCTGCAGGTGGGGGTGGGAGGGCGCTACCAAAACCAGGCGGGCAGGCGGGCGGGCGGGCAGGCGGGGACTGGTCTGTGGTCAGAGCGGCCCGGGGCAGTGGCGGCCTAGTCCTCGATGACGATGGGCTCGTCGTTGACAGGCGCGGGCGGGGGTGGCCGCAGCGGCAGGGCCTGGCTCTGGCGCAGGGCGATGGGCTTGTAGGGCCGGCGGGCGGCGCGCTTGGTCTCCGAGGACGAGAGCAGCTTGCGGATCTTCCTGTGAGCGGCAAGCGACCCCCAAGTGAGGAGGACACACAGCACCCCAGGGCCCACCCCCGCACCCGGCCGGGGGCCCACCTGGTCTCCTCGGTGGCCATGTAAAACACATCGTCGGGGGCGTCGATCCAGTTCATCCTCCGCCGCTTGACGGGGGGCAGTGAGCCCCCGCGGATGAGGCGCACTTTGGTGGGGTACGACTTCCCGTTGAGCAGGAGGTTCCGGCTTGGTCCCTGGGCGAGAGGACGCGTGAGGGGGCTTCCCGGGGGCCTCCCCGCTGCACGCCCCTGCGTGCCCCCCACTGGTCCTGCTGGGCCTCCTCCCAGAAGCCCAAGGGGGCTGTGGGCACACACGTGTGCGCCTGTGGGGCGGGCGGCCCTCCCTCTTACCATGTGCCTGGTCTGTCCGTGGTTCGCCAAGCCTGACAAGGAGGGAGGACAGGACGTGAGGCACGCGGCCCAGTGGGTCCTGCATCCTCACGCCACCGAAGACCTGCGGCCAGCCCCAGGGACGCAAGGGGCCGCTGGGCCAGCCGCCCTCGCCACGACCCGCACCCAGGGGAGGCACGGGGGACGAGCCTCAGCTGCCCCTGACCCGGGCCGCCCCGGCCCGGCAGCCCCTCAGCAGCTGCGGCTCCGATGGCCGCCAGCCTCGGGCCCCGCCCCACGGCTCACTCCCACTTGCGGGCTCCGCGCCGCTGGCTTGGCCCGGGCAGACGAAGGCCCTGTTCACAGGACCAGGCCTCGCCCAGCCCTGCTGCAAATACAGCAGCACCACAGAGCCCCTCGCCGGTGGCCACTCTTTGGCCAGCGCAGCTCAGACCCCAGGAGGCCAGCGGCCCTCACTGACCCCAGGGACTGGGGGTCTGGAGCCTTGACCCAGGCCACAGTCCGGCGCCCGAGGGCCCGGCTCCTGAACACAGGCTGCTGACGACCTGAGCCGAGAGGCAGGCCGGATCCCTGGGCCAGCAGCGCCCGCCTGCACCTGGGCGCGCGGGTGT